AGTATCATACACGTGCGATCATAGTTCACAATTTAAAACTGACTCTTAAAATTTATTAATTGCCCAATTTAAAATTGACCCTTGTGTCATACAGAAATAAGGAAGACGAAAGAACGTATTCGATATGTTTGATTTTGACGATCGATACACACGAATTCGAGCAGGAGGGACATCTGCAGGTCGTCGAAACGCAGACTGGAATCGTTACATACCAGATCCCCGGGCAAAATTTATATCCTGGCTTTCGTTACGCCCACCTTTTGCCTTTTTGTTTCGAGAACGTCTCGAGATTCTTCACCTCGGCTGATCGCGCACACTCGAGGAACAAAGGAGCCGAGCTGCGGAATAAAGGAGAGCCTCCACGGTCGAGCCAGCAGACGAAACTTTCATTACTCGTAGACGGGGGATCGGTTTCCGTTCTATCGACGCTGTTATTAATCGAAGCCGTGAGAAAAGGAAAAACAACGGGACGAAAAGTAGAAAGAAGAAAAATCCCGGCTTTTCGACAAAGAGAGAAATGATTGTTGAGAAAGAATGGCGAGCTAGAATTGTTCAGTTGGTAAAACGGTTTAACCCTTTCGCGCATCCTCTGTTTTTCTCTACAGACACGAAAAACAGTGCGGATGCATGGGGGTTCGGATAAACGAAATTCTTCCAATATTATTCTAGTGTGAACTTTTCTCACACGTTCCTAGATTCTTATATTTTCATGATATAATTTCGAAATTTTCAAATTACCAAAATTCCTAAATTCCAACTTCTAATTTCACAATTTTGAATTCTCAAATTCCCTAGATTCCAATTTCTAATTCTCCAAATTCCCTAGATTCCAATTTCCAATTCTCCAAATTTCCTAGATGGCAAATTCTAATTCCCCAAATTCCCTAGACTCCAAATTTCAATTCTCCAAATTCCCTAGATTCCAATTTCCAATTCTCCAAATTTCCTAGATGGCAAATTCTAATTCCCCAAATTCCCTAGACTCCAAATTTCAATTCTCCAAATTCCCTAGATTCCAATTTCCAATTCTCCAAATTTCCTAGATGGCAAATTCTAATTCCCCAAATTCCCTAGATTCCAATTTTCAATCCCCCAAATTTCCTAGATTCCAAATTCCCCAGATTCCAATGTTCAATTCCCCAAATTCCTTAAATTCCAAATTCCAATTCTCCAAATTTCCCAGATTCCAAATTCTAATCTCCCGAACCCTCTAGATCCCAAATTCCAACGCATCAAATTCCGTAGATTCCAAATTCCAATCCTCGAAATTCCCTATATTCCAAATCTCTCAAATTCCAATTTTCAATTTTTCAAGTATCTAAATTTTGTAATTTTGAAACTTTCAAGTTTCCAATTTTCCAAATTTTTGTCTAAATTGGACATATTACGTAATTCATGTACGAATCCCACGTCGCAAGCTAATTAAACCGTATCAGGTACCTGAATTTTTATATGGTCACACCTCGACCCATATATCATCGTAAAATTAATCATTCGAAAATCTTCTAAAATGTTCCGTTAAAGATGCTTAACGATTTGATCGAAGAACGATGGAAACAACCTTAAGGTTCTCCTTGTTCCTCGGAATACGACAGGAGGGAGGTAGCACAATTAAGCTGTGTAATTTATGCGACGGTATTGTCGCTTTGATCGACGCTTAATGAGACGCCTTCGCTGCAGAACCGTCGTCTAAATTTGGATCTGGGTCGCCGGTTCCATTGGCGCGATTGAACTTGAACGCGTTCTCGATTTCTCGCGATAGAGCACCGTTCTAATCATTCTACTAGAAATAGACATTCTCTGTGAAATAAATTACTTACAAACAGCAAATAATAAGGGTGTCATTTTTTTAAACGACTTTCAAGTTCGAAAAAATTTTTGTCGAGATTGTGCTCAGAAGCGTTCTGAATGCTGAGTTATCGAGTGGAATTATCGAGAGGAGATCGAGACGTAATCTCGTTTCACGACACGGCAACGGTGTTACTATATCGACCAGGTGGAAGCAGATTGAAAGTAAACGGCGATTGGTTCTCGTTTATCGAGTTAACATGTCGAGTGCTACTGAAAATCATATGTAACGCTTGGTCATCGTGCTGGAATATTAAATATTGCGCGTTTTTTAGATTTAATGTTATTATATCCTAATAGGGCTCATACAGGATATAATTTATTCATATGCTCTCAAATTAGTAGACCTTTAATGTAAAGGACACTCAAGAAGCTCCAATGATCATAGCCGTCTTTCCTTATAAAATCAATCAAGACTCAAGAAAGTTTGGTCAAATTCAAATTAGTCATTGGAGCCATCTGGTCAAATGGAGCTCATCATGGAAAATTGTTCTATGAACACTAGCAGTTTAATTTTTATAATCCACAAGTACCAAATTGATTTATTAAATCAGTGATAATTAAAACGTTTTAATTTAACTCCGTGAGTCAATGAGAAGGGAAATCGGTGATGTTGGCCATTCAACGGGAAATGCGGACATAACGATCTTTTCTCTCCCCGTTACTCGTAAACGGCAACGGAAACGTGAAAATAATCTCATTCTCTATTCACGTGGTTTGCCCCATTGACTCTCGTCAACGTGGTTATACTGCATACACTGCTGGACGAGCGAGGAGATCGTAACTGTCCATGCAACACGGAAGAGATCGTTTATTAGTTGAAGGTTTTAGTTCAACCAGCTGTAAGCTAGCTCCATACGTATCCACTAATAAATAGGACTCATTGTTTATCTCTGTTACTCATTCTTCAATAATATTTCGACTTTGAGATCGAGGTGAAACTGGGTGGGATATTAGGAAATTACAAGGTTTAATTGCGAGGGAAATTTTTGTTTAGGTAGTTTGTGAGAATAGTGTGGTGAGTTGTATTAATTTTGACAAGCTTAACTAGATTGTAGGACAACTTGATGTAATTGACAAAATGAGTTACTTGTGTCAAGTTTGATAAGTTTAAGATATTTAATGAATAACATAATATAATTGACAAAATAGGTTTGTATATGTCTGGTCACTTGTGTCAACTTTGACAAGTGTAACATAATTATTGAGCAGCTTAATATAATTGACAAAATAGGTTTGTATATGTCTGGTCACTTGTGTCAACTTTGACAAGTGTAACATAATTATTGAGCAGCTTAATATAATTGACAAAATAGGTTTGTATATGTCTGGTCACTTGTGTCAACTTTGACAAGTGTAACATAATTATTGAGCAGCTTAATATAATTGACAAAATAGGTTTGTATATGTCTGGTCACTTGTGTCAACTTTGACAAGTGTAACATAATTATTGAGCAGCTTAATATAATTGACAAAATAGGTTTGTATATGTCTGGTCACTTGTGTCAACTTTGACAAGTGTAACATAATTATTGAGCAGCTTAATATAATTGACAAAATAGGTTTGTATATGTCTGGTCACTTGTGTCAACTTTGACAAGTGTAACATAATTATTGAGCAGCTTAATATAATTGACAAAATAGGTTTGTATATGTCTGGTCACTTGTGTCAACTTTGACAAGTGTAACATAATTATTGAGCAGCTTAATATAATTGACAAAATAGGTTTGTATATGTCTGGTCACTTGTGTCAACTTTGACAAGTGTAACATAATTATTGAGCAGCTTAATATAATTGACAAAATAAGTTTGTATATGTCTGGTCACTTGTACCAACATTGACAAGTGTAACATAATTATTGAACACCTTAATGTAATAGATAAAATAAGTTTGTAGAAGTCTGGTCAGTTGTGTCAGCTTCGACAAGTGTAACATAATTATTGAACATCTTGATATAATTGACAAAGTGAGTATGTACATATCTGGTCACTTGTATCAATTTTGATAAGTTTGACATGATTATAGATGAAGTTGATATGATTGACAAAGTGAGTTTGTATATTATTGAACAGTTTGATATAATTGACAAAATAAATATTATGTTAGAGGAGTCAAGAAACACTTCAAAGTATAATACATTATTTAAGTACATTAAATTAAATACAAGAAGATACGTAAAATTGGTATAAATGTTTCAAAGCACGTCCATTATGAAAAGCTACCAGATATCAAAGAAAATAATGGATTAGATCTGTTAATGCGTCGACTGCCACAATAGCTACATTTGGATCAAGATTAAAGTCACTGGAGTATAAACATTTCCATCATTCTCACGGGTTTATGTTGAAAACTTGGTTTTGTTGCGACGTTGTGAAAAGCTGTCCCAAGGATTGGGGTAAAGCTAGCGGAAACTGGTTTCAGGAGCGAACCATTAAACACGGCCGGAACACCGAGTGTACGAAGCGTGATCACGCGCTTTTTACTTGCTCACTAATTCCGACATAGTTGAAGTAACATAGTAGTCGAGTAACAACGAGGAATCTTCTAACCCCTGGTTTGGGCAACCCTATGCCCCTTGGGTTAGTCATTTTATCATCGTGTACGATCAGTTGACTTCGAACAGCTGAACTATGTTTCGAACTACCATATTGTGGACTATGCAAGATTGTACTGTAACGATTACACTAAACGTCGTAACTGGGGAATATTAATTCATCTTTACAACCTTTCAAAATAGGAAGTGACACTGACTGCCATGTCATTCACATATGACGCTCAAATTTCCATATGAAGCATTTGTATTTCGGGGGATTCTTTGTCTGTCAGACTCCTATTCACTTTTGGGCACTTTTGACAATTTTCATGGGGATGTTGGCTCATTTTGAGAAAGTTTGATTCTTTGATAGAAGGTCGTATCTGACACGGTTTGACCTGTAGAAGCATATGTGTATGTGAGTGAATGGGACGAGGTTTGGTTGTATTTTGGGGAGCTCTCCGCCTCTAGATCTCCTGTTAGCCATCTTTGGGCACTTTTGACAATTTTCCTGGTTATATTGGCTCATTTTGAGAAAGTTTGATTCTCTGACAGAAGGTTGTATCTGGCACGGTTTGGTCTGTGGATTCATATACGTGAGTGAGATGGGGTTTGACTCACTTTAGCTCGCTGTGGCTCTCCATGTCCAGACCCTCTGTTAACCACTTTTCGGTACTTTTGACAATTTTTCTAGGAGTTTTGACCCATTTTAAGAAAGTTTGATTCTCTGACAAAGGGTCGTAGCTGGCACGATTTGGCCAGTACATTTATGTACACAAGAGAGTTGTCAGAATGAAGTTTTACAGAATTTTTATTTATCCACTAATTCAAAATATTCGTGCTAACTATTTGAAGCTGTGAATAAATATAACAAAAGATCTATTAAAAATAAAGATACCTAAATTCCAACTGCTTCAACATCAACGTTAATGAACAAATCTACAATTTCCCGCTCGACTGCTCCGCACACCAATTCGCGATCGAAAACAAATATCGAATAATGGAAAAAAAGGTCTACAGCAATTTCGGCGACAAAAATTGATATTTCACACGGTCGGGTTGAATCGCGCGTACGAATTGGACTGTTTCTAGCAGGCTCTCGAGCGTTATTAACAAAATGGAACAAATCCGGCCTTCCGTGCGAACGCGTCGAGCGAATGAAAGTTAATCAGCGCCGGCTAATCGAGTCGATTTCTGATAACCTTGACCCGGTTGAACGTTCGTCACCGGATCGAACGTCACGAATCTCTCTTTTCGTCTCGCAGAAATATCGGCCGGTCGTCGCGTGTCGAGCGATCTTTTCAGTAGGCAACGCAAAAATGCTAGCGTTTTAAGCGACCTCCGTCTCCTCCGCTCTCCTTCTCGTTCTATCTCGCTCGATCCGTTGTGCAACACCTGTTGAATCGTTAGCCCGTCTAGCTTTAACTCGGATGCAGGTAAGTCGGTGAATGACACGGCTAACGCTCGATTTCGAGCATTCTAATTGCTAGTTTCTTTCACGGTGTCGCGACGCTGCCTCTTCTTCGTTAGACGTTCGATTAACAGGACCTTGTTATCGGACGAAATAATTGGAAAAATTATGATTGCTTAGAGGGTGCCATTAATTGGTACTGTTGCGACAAGGACTCGATTGGTTTTCGAGGCGATATCATAGTCTCATTATATGGCTCTTCGAAGGAGATTTATGAAGGTTCTATGATTCAGATCTAGAAATTATTGAGTGTCCAAAGTCCCCAAATCCCAAATTTCCCAAAATTCCAAATCCTCCAAATTCCCTAGATTCCAAATTCCAAATTCCCCAAACACTACTCTTAAATTTCTTAAATTAGAAAGTCATCAAATTTTTTAATTTAGGAAACCAAATTTCCAAATTCGGAAACCTCCAAATTTTCAAACTTAAGGATTTAGTAATTTCAAGCTTAGAATTTTCTAAGCTTCAAATGTGGAACATGGACACGTAAGTTTCAAATTTTTAAATTAAGAATCCGACAATTATTGAATGTAGAAACTTTCGCATTTTGAAAGTAGATATCTCCAGTGCATACAAGATCCATGCTTCACCTATTAATTAATTATTGAAGATATCTACACATTTAAAAGGTATAGCTAGACGACGATGTAGCAGTTATCAGTGATCGTTAAAGCTTAACCAGCTTCGCCTATGTAATTCGACGCGCGTGCCAACAGGCAGCAGTAATTATGGAACAATAAAACGCAAGGTGAACGGGAATCGAGTGCTCGTGACTGTGTAAACGTCGTCATTGTAGTGAACTCGTGAGTTCTTTAACGAGTGGCTCGTATTATATTTCGTCGGAGTGAAACTCGAAAGATTTCAATTAAAATCACATTAAGATTTCAATTAAAAGTCGCGGGTAATATTGCAATGAAAAAAAAAAACAATTGCGACATGCATACACACTTTATTGCTATTATTATCATTGTTGTCGACATTATTGTTGTTGTTGTCATTGTTGTGGTTATTGTCATTGATAACATGGCTGTTGTTGTTGTTCTCAATTCTTCTTGTTGTTCTAGTATTTTGTTGTTGTTGCGTTCCTTGTTGTTTTTGTTGTTTATCTTGTTGTTGTTGTTGTTACTGTTGTTCTTGCTGTTGTTGTTGTTACTGTTGTTTTTGCTGCTTCTGTTGTTGTGGCTGCTGTTTTGACTGTTGTTGATATTATTGTTGTTGTTGCTGTTGTTTTTATTGTTGTTGAATTTCTTGTTGTTGTTGTTGTTCTTATTGTGGTTGATATTATTGCTGTTGTTGCTATTCTTATTGTTGTTGATATTCTTGTTGTTGCTGTTGTGTTTGTTGTTCTTCATATTCTTGTTGTTGTTGATATTGTTGTTGTTGTTGTTGTTCTTATTGTGGTTGATATTCTTGTTGTTGTTGTTCTTATTGTTGTTGATATCCTTGCTGTTGTTGCTGTTGTTTTTATTGTTCTTGATATTCTTGTTGTTGTTGCTATTGTTCTATTGCTGTTGATACTCTTGTTGTTGTTGCTGTTATTCATGTAGTTGTTGCAGTTGCTCTTACTGTTGTCGGTGATCTTGTTGTTGATTTTGTTGTTGTTGCTGTCTTTACTGTCGTCATCGTTGTCGTTCTTGTTATTGTTCTTATTGTTGCTGTCCATCTTGTTGTTGCTCTTCTTGTTATTATTATTTATTGCTCTTTTCTACTGTTCTTGTTCTTATTGTTTCTACTGCAGTTGAACATAAAAATGCACATACGTATAACAACATACGCAATGAAAATATCTATTTCCTAACTAAAAATGTAAATATTTCATCAGATATAAAATATGTACGCGCAGAAAATTGTCGGAAAAACAGCAAGCGGATATCTCCGATACATATGGAAGCGTCTCGATGCACACGCGTTCGATAATTCATTCGGTTATATTGGGTTCGATTTCGTTGTATTATTCGGTGCGGTCAACGAGAATCGCCAGGATAGGAATTTCAGTAAATCGGTCGATATCCGCGTGTCGTTTCACGGCGAGACGAAATAGAAACGACAAGAAAACGGCGGATAAGATAAACAGGGTGGCAAGGAGAGACGACGCGGAGCGACAGGAAGAAACCTCGAGCAATTTGAAGGAGGCCAGAGTGCTGCGGGTGGCACGAATCAACAGTTTATTCGGGGCTCCGTGACGTTCTCGCCACGTTTGATCGTAATGTTTGCTGAAAGTTCAACGGCAGCCCGAGGCTTGTTAGAGAATCGAGTCAAGCAAGTTTCGCGACCGGATACCGGGGAGAAAATGAGCGATGAGAGCCCCGATAACAAACTCCCCGCGCAATGTTGGATTAGCCGTTCGTTCGACGGATTACAAAATCTTCGACTTTGCCACGATTGTGAACCCGCAATGAAGATAACGCCTTTCTTTCTCCTTCAAAGTCTCGCTCGGATTTGGACCTCTTGGATAAGATACCGAATTATCTTTTGAATTATTTTAAATGACACTCGAACACGTACAAGATCTCGGTTATTTTAAAAAGACAGGGATGAATTGTTCTAACTTTTTGAAGTATTTTATGAACGACTAAAAATCAGTCCAGCTATTAACAAAAAGACACAAACAAATAGTTGTTTGAGTTTTTTAAAATGAGACACGAACAAGTACAAGTCTTTTCAGCTACTTAAAAAGAACAGGAATAATGTTTCAATTATTTGAAATAACATATGAACAAGTACAAGTCATTTCACATACATGAAAAAAGGCAAGAACAAATAATTGTTTGAATTATTTAAAACGAGACTCGAACGAGTACAGGTTCTTTCAATTACTTGAACAAGACAGGAATAATTCTTTGAAATAACATATGAACAAGTACAAGTCATTTCACATACATGAAAAGAGACAAGAACAAAAAATTGCTTGAATTATTTCAAATGTGATACAAAAGAGTACAAGTCTTTTCAGCTAATTGCAAAAGACAGGAATAATTGTTTGAATCGTTTGAAACCAATCAAGAATAGTCATTTGAATGGTATAAAATATTTATGAAATGTAAAAATATGTGAACGATCATCCGAATCTCGTCTGTTTTAGAACACACTCAAGACCGAACGCGTTGAAAAAGCAATTCCAAATGCTCGTTCGAAAGCAACATCGAATAAGTCTCTCGAAACGTCGTGGAATCAGATAAAGCAAAGTTACGCGAACAGAACATGAAGAAGCGTATCGTCGCCGATTTCCAGCATACCTGCTTGAACCGTTTCGACGATAGGAATAAATTCGAGGCAGCGTCGTCGTATTTCGCGGGTACGAGTTTCCCCGGCTGGCCGCTAAATAACAGCCACCATATAGAATTTCCTCGAATAAACGATCGTATAACGAGCGCGAGGAGGAACAGGCGGTACACGTTACCTCTTCTTCGTCGAGGAAATTACAAGAATGGCAACGTGACAAGCGCCTCGTTTTCGTTTCCACGAACGTGATTTCGCGAGCTCTGCCGTTGGCTCGTGCGTGCCGTGCGATTTTATCGGCGAGCCGCATCTGCGACCTCTTCTTTTTCCCTGCCTCGCCGCCCCTTCCTTTATCACCCTCACGAATCTTCGTGTCCAGCGAAAAATTACCGACCCCCGACACGACCACGAACTCACGCCACAGAAACGGATCCGACCAGTTAAACGACAAGAGAGAACCGATAAACACGGGTTTAAGCCGAGCCGTGGCGTGCAAGTGGGACGTGCACGTGGGGTAAAAGTGTTCCTCTACGTCTTCATTGAAACTTCCCTTGCTCGATTATAGACTACCTGGTCAAATTTTCTGGCCTCTTTTGTAAAGCTTCGTTATAATTATTTCGTTGGAAGTAGTTGTAACTAGAATTTCCTTGTGGGGGTAGGGAACCCTAGAGTTATTAGCTCTGGCGGTGATGAGTGGGAGCATTTTGAAGATTTGGAATTTAGGGAATTTGGAATTTGGGAAATTTGGAATCTGGGGGATTTGGAATCTGAGGGATTTGGAATCTGGGGGAATTGGAATTTGGGGGATTTGGAATTTGGGGAATTTGGAATCTATAAAATTTGGGGATTTGTGAATTTGGGATCTAAGGAATTTGGGGATTTGGAATTTGGGGGATTTTCGAATTTTTGGGAATTTGCGATTTGGGGAATTTGGGATTTGGAGAATTTGGGATTTGGAGAATTTGGGATTTGGAGAATTTTGGATTTGAGGGATTTTGAATTTAGGGAATTTGGAATTTGGAATTTAAGGAATTTGGGGATTTGCATTTTGGGATCCAAGAAGTTTGGGGATTTGGAATTTGGGGGAATTTTCGAATTTTAGGAAATTTGGGATTTGGGAAATTTGGAATTTGGGGAATTTGGAGAATTTGGGGAATTTGGGGAATTTGGGGAATTTGGAATTTGGAATCTAGGGAATTTGGGGATTTGCATTTTGGGATCCAAGAAATTTGGGGATTTGGCATTTTGAGGATTTTGGGATTTGAGGAATTTGGAAATTGGGGGAGTTTGGGATTGGATGAATTTGGGATTTGGGGAATTTGGAATTTAGAATCTAGGGAATTTGGGGGATTTGGAATTTTGGGAAATTTGGGATTTTGGGAAATTTGGGATTTTGGGAAATTGTGGAATTTGAGAAATTTGGGAAATTTGGGAATTTTGGGAATTTGAGGAATTTGAAAAATTTGGGAATTTAGGGAATTTAGAGAATTTAGGAAATTTAGGGGGAATTTGGAAATTAGGGGAGTTTGGGATTGGATGAATTTGGGACTTGGGGAATTTGAGATTGTGGGAATTTGGAATTTGGGGAATTAGGGAATATGGAAAATTGGGATTTGAAAATGTGGGAAATCTTGGGTATTCGATGAATTTAGGAAAGTTGGGAAAGTATAATTCTACCTCACCGTTAATCATTGTCACCTCGAAACCATTTCCAAACATAACTCGTATCCCGCGTTTCATAATCGGCAAAGAATCGTAACAATTCCAGTAGTCGTTTCTCGTCGATCATTTTCGAAACGATGCAACGAGTCGGTCGTTTCCGTTCCGGCAACGCAATAATCCAATTAAGAGCGACGGCGTCGAGGGTCGGTGGAATTAATCGCGAGAGATAAATCGCTCGGTGAATCGTTTCCCCCTTTTGTCGTGGCTTAACAACCTCGTTCTGTGTCGTCTTTTGAAAGGGCGAAGAAAACTGCTCGCGATAGTAATTACCGAAGAAAGTTCCTAAGAAACAGCCGTGAAACCGTAGGAAAGATATCGATGATTCGTTACGCGTTTCTGCGACCCTCTGCATGCTCGTTTCGCTTGTACGCGTCCCTCTTTCTCGACCCGTGTTTGCATGAGCACGCTGCTTAAGTGTAACTAAGTGTGCCTGTGTATGTGTTTATGCGGCCTCGTTGCTAGTGCATCGCGAAATCCCAGCGGGATCGACGACATTAGAGCTCGGGTCACGACAATGCTCGTGCGGTTCAGAAGCACCGACGATGATGCTGTACACGTGTTCAAGGACGCCGTTTTCGCTGGAATCCGTGCCGGTTAGGTTGTGTACACGGTCACGGTTACGACCTTGCCTACTTTAAACACCCTACCTTTTTTTTTATTCGTTGGTCGGTATTCTCCTTTGATACGATCGATCGGGGCTTTAGGTTAGATTTATTGAATTTTTACACCTGCAGTTTTTGCAGGTGCATGGTTGGTATTTCGTTGGTAGGGTTAGGTTAAATTTATGGTAGTTTAAGATAGTTTAAAGTTAGGTTACTTTGGGTCAGTTAGGTTTAGGTTATTTTGGGCCAGATAGGTTTAGGTTATTTTGGACCAGTTAGATTTAGGACATTTTGGGCCAGTTAGATTTGTTATTTTGGGCCAGTTAGATTTGTTATTTTGGGTCAGTTAAATTCAATGTTAAATTTGGGTTGTTTTGGGCCAGTTAGGTTTAGGTTATTTTGGGTCAGTTAGATTTAGGATGGATTCAAGTAATTCAATGTTAGTTATATTTGGATTAGATTTACAATGGTTCAGGTTGGTTTAGATCTGGATTACATTTGGTCAGTTAGATTTTGGTTACAGTTATCTTGGGTCAGTTAGATTTAGGTTTTATTGGGCCAGTTAGATTTAAGTTACATGTAGATTATTTTTGATAGTCCGGATATTTTGAATTTGATCGTATTATATGTATATTTTGAATTACATAAGATTGGTGTGGTCCTTTTACCTACTTCATTACTTCAGTCTTGTTATACCTTACCAATTATTTTGACAACAATAAGTCAATAGAAAGAAGTCGTAAACACTTTTACGTCACCATACGTCTTCGAAATAGTAATTCTTATAGATTCGATTAGACGCGCATTGTCATAGAAGACGGCGATAAAAAGAACATAAAATAGAGATGCAGGCAGCTCGCAGCTTACGGAAAGTTTGATAAGTATGGAGTGGTAAGCGTTTTTTTTTTCGAGCGACTACCTCGTGAAACCTGCTAGACGATATCCGGATCAGGTGCTGGTGTGCAATTTACGGGGCATAAAGGAACGATCGAGAGAGCGAGTGCTTCTTTGATCGAGCGTAAAGCGAAACAGGGACTCCTATCCTTTCTAACGGACGAAATGAGCGAAACAAGTGGAACGTTTCTATATACAATACGATCCACCTGTCCCGTGTGCGATA